AATGCTTACAGTTTCGTGGGGCCGTTTAGCCGGGGTGAGTTGATTTTGAGGGTCGGGACTCGATTGAATCGTATGCACCGTGGATGACATTGACAGGCTGTATATAATGTGGATCACGCTGAGCGGAGGTAAATCCTTTCTTAAGGCTATTGCTTTGGTTGGGTTGCCTTTTCAGATGTACTGTTGTAGCTGACCATCTTGTACCAATTTCTCCAGGTGATCCTTTAATGCATAGCAACTCTCAGTATCATGGCCATGATCCTTGTGATACTCACACCGCCTATCCCATCTTCGCATGTCGGGAGATCCCACCATTTTTTACGGCCATTTGAAGAACTGAAGGTGTTGGATTTTGGACATAACCGCACTGATCGGCTTTATCAACTCCATATATTTCTTTTCGGCGCGCCTTGTGCGCCTGCTATCGACTTGCAGTTGTTCACTTGCTCGGTGGGATCATTGGTCGCTTGATCGACGAGAATCCCGTCTCTTATCTCGTTTAGCCCGCTGCCGAGGTTCAGAGCTTTGAGGTGGTACGAAACTTATCGGCTGAGCAATTTCAGAAGGGGCCGTCTTGTTAGCCATGTTTTCGGCTTTAACTCACAAGGCGTCATCCTCTACTTTGTAGTGTTCCTCAACTTTCTTCATCAACGACCAGACTGTTTTGGGGGGTCTTCTAGTCAAAGAGCTGAAGAGAGCACTGTCAGGGTGCAAACCCATTTTGAAGGCGGTGATGGCCATGGAGTCGTTGCAAGCGTCATCAACAAGATTAAAGCACTCCCAGTAGCGTACTGAATACACTCTTAGTGTTTCTCCTGGCTGGATCTTCATTGTCCAGAGAGAGTCGGCTTGTTTCGGCTCGACTTCGTTGGTGATGAATCTCGCCCTAAAGGATTTCTGTAATTGATGGAAGCTCTTGATCGAAGCCGGCTCTAGTTTATAATACCACCTGACGGCCAATCGTCCCAAACTGCTGGGAAATATTCGGCACATGAGGGTCTCGTCGTCTGCATGCAATGTCATGGCTTGCTTGTAGTGACGAATGTGATCGGTGGGGTTTGATTTTCCATCATAGAGAATGAACGATGGAGCTTTGAACTTTTTGGGCAGAACCGCCCTCGCGATCTGTCGTACAAAGGGATCATGCTGGTCTTCTTCGTCTGAACTGTTTCTTCTTCGCTTATGCCTTATACGTACACTCTCTTCAGAAGAACTGGTAGCTTCGAGTCGACCATTCTTTTTGGGATTCGGGGATAATGAGTCAGAGTCACTGTCAATGTCCTGTTGTCGGGCTCGGGGTCGTCGACCACCTGCCCTCAAGGGTCATTCCGGATCTTGGCATACAGCTGCTTGGACTTCGCTACTTCCAAGGCCAAATCCTGACGGAGACGTTCGTTCTCAGCGATCATGTTCTCCAACCTCTGTTCATTTTGCTTTGCTTGCTCCATAATCGCTTGCATTGCCTCTTACGCTGATGTCGAGGGTGAACTGAAGTTCAAGGCCCTTCTTGCGGTAATATTCTCTGGCCCAAGCATGTTGCTTGTAGTGGTTTCATCTTGCGGTGGAGGGTCGACAGTGACTGACGGAGGATCTTCCGTCACGCCCGCCATAAATGTGCTTGAGTATTCCCACAAACGGCGCCAATTGTGGGGAAGTGGTTTGGAAATACTCTTCTGATCCTAGGGGACGCTCGTGATCCTCAGCTAGTCACCTGAAAATGAATAAACACTCCGGTCGGGGGTGCCGGAATTAGCACTCTGACGGACAAGTCAGTCTCTACTCTCCGGATTACTTGTATTCTAAGTTAAGCGTAATGGTTCTCACATACCTCTTTCTGTCTGATGTTTCTCTATTTATATCTTTTCTTTCTTTGGCCTTGGGGCTGGGCCTACTATCGATCCGCCATACAACTATTTATACGGCTTCTTTAACTGCAAACCGTTTGCCGCTCAGCCCCTTATTCAACCGGCTACTTAGCCGAATAGAGCTGAATTCGATGCGCAATTCGACTCTCCTGGTCCATCTATTCGGCTTATTTACGTCTCCTAATATTCGGCCCTCACAATTGCCCCCCAAGCACTTCACTAACAACAGTTAGCTGGAGTGTTTGGTTTCGAACTCGAAAAGTCAGAGCCGAAATTCGGCGGCTAACCTCATTTCAACGCACATGTCTGAGCATACGCCTCTCAGTTATCATTTCAACTTCCCGCCTCTTCGTATACTTCCATTTATTGTGATTTAAAATTTTGTCGTCTTTTCGAACACGCATTTTCGGACGCTTTAGAGTTTTACTCGAAAAGGAGCGCTCGAATGAAATCTTAGACAGATCTAGATCAACTACAACACCCTTGTTCCCTCCAAACAAAGCACCGAAGCAACTCCATAGATCCGAAACCAAGTTCATCCCTCAAACTCCCACTCACAAAAGAGCGCCCGAATGAAGATCCATCCAGATCTGGCCAACCTCTATACCGGTCCAAACCCAACCTCCTTCTTCTCTGTTCTGTCCCTTAAACCCCAAAGTGGACACAGAAACAGACAACAACAAAAAAACAAGCCGAAGCCCCCCTGAAGACACAAAAAAAAGGACACCAAAGTGGGAAGAAATTGTGGGAATCAAGTTTATTGAAAGCAGAAACCAGCACACAAACACGAAAGAGAGCTGGGCCAGCCGACCGCCATAGCCAAAGGCGGCGGTCGGCCGGCCAAAAGTGAGGCCCGGGGGTGGAGGTTTAGAGAGAGAGAGAGAACGTTAGAGAGAGAGAGAGTAATCCTGAATTCACGAATTTTAGTACTATTTTTCCAACTAGGATATGTGATACACTCAAGCCAAGACTCCAAACGAGGCCTTAGTACGTTTTTAATTTTGATGTTTATTCTATAAGAACTCTCATATTATTTTTAAACCTGAGTTCACTTTATCCTATCTCTTTTTTTTTTTTCTTTTTTTTTTTAAACTCACTTTGTCCTATCTCTTGAAGTGACTTTTTAGTACAATTATAATTTCTCTTTGTTTTCATAGATACGTCTGAATGGTCCCTATAGATCCATCTGGGGAAACAGTATCTAAGATCGATCGGGCTGGTGATTAAAAAATAGGATAGTATTATATGTACAGTAATGATTCATTCCATTAAAAATATCATTATTAATAGTATTAATGTATTAAAAAAATAAAAGAAAATAAAAAATATAACTTCAAAATCAAAACATCACATCATTAATGACGAGACCCACTGCCACCTAATTAGTGGGAGCACTAATTAGTGCTCCCAAACATTTTTCATTATATGTATTAATTAATATATTAATAAATAATGTGATATAATTTTAAAAATTTTAAATATTTATAATTTGTATAATAAGTAAAATCAATAATAATGACATAATACTAATTGATATACTAGTGTTTATACTAATTGATATATATAACACAACCGTAAAAAAATTGTATATATATTATTGACGGAAGTGTGGGGCCCAAATACGATACTTGTAAGACAGCCCAAGCCCAAAGCCACTGATGTAAGTCCCATAATGGGCTGGCCCACATTAAGTCATGCCTATGATGTTTAACTTGAAAAAACAATTAAACGAACACAGCCAGTATCAGCTGCGATCAAGACTAGGAAAAGAAGGAAAATTTCTTCACTTTTTTTATACTTTTTTTGTTTTTATTTTAAATTTTTGATTGAAAAAATTCCTTCACTTTGAACTTGTACATTTTGGACAATATTGTCCTTTCGCAACATCCATATTAGCGATTATTACATAATGTACAATAGGTGATTAAAGAAATGGATTAAAAGTATATAATCTTTGAAATAAAGATTTGATACCGAGTGTTCTGAGAATATTCGTTAATAAGTTTGCAATAATTACATATATTTTTGTAAAAAAAATATAATTATTTTAGGCTTTAATTGTTAATCTATGTACTAAAAACAAACATTTAAAAAAAAAATTGAAAAGAATATTTATAAACCAATCAACAACGTCATAATGTGTCAAATTGGACACAAATTTAGTCAAGCCAGTGTAAGAATGAATAATTCTACACATACTAATAATCTAACTAAAAATACAAGAGATCAAATGTGATTACTTGTTAAAAAAGTAATGATATTTAAACGCTCAACGATGTTTGAAAATGTACTTTTTCTAATAAAATTGTTAGTAAAAATTTAAATAAATGTAACATTGCCCTTTAAAAATTGACATAGTGATGACTTCCAGCAGCCACTACAAAAAAAAAATGTGATTTTTCTTAATTGGCCATTATGATTCTATTACTAGCAATTTAAGAATTTTGGTTTGTTACCATTTCTTTAAGTACTTTCCAAACATGCCCTTATATGATGTGGTTTGTTATGGAGATATATCCGAGAAGTCAATGCATGTCGTGTGGGGAAGCTATATAGTGATGATGGTTCTCACACACTCATTGTTTATGGCTTCTTGGAAGGTCATGTTGCGGAATAAATCACAATAGAAAGAAAATCAATCACAAATTTCAAAATAATAATAATAATAATAATAATAATAATAATAATAATAATAAAAGTACATAAATATAAATGATACAAGTAGATTTTTAATGGCTTTGAAAATTGATAATTAAAAAACAAAAATTAAAAGTATCATTCCTTCAACTTCCAAATAATTAGTATTTTTCAAGTTATTTAAGATACTTTTATTTAATAAACTGTAAGCGAAAGTTATACTAAATAGTGATACAGACTCTTAAAATAATAATTAAAAAAAAAGAATTTAGAACCCTATATAAATTGTATCAAACAATGTGATAGAGTTTATATCAATAAATAACAATAATACCCTCAGTTGAATCGTCGGCTACAATGTTCTAAGATGGACAGTACTAATCAAACTCTACAAACTCACCAAGTCATGATGTCACCATCTCTCTCTATTATATATACTCCAAGACTAGTAAATTATAACCAAGACAATATACTAGGAAGTTGTATATCTGTTTTCAAATGGAATTATCCATATTCAGTTTCTTTGCTATATGTGTCCTACTTGGGGTGGCTGGTAGAGCTAGAGCCAGTGACGATAGCTTTGATGAGAATTACTATGTTTACATGGGGAAACAATCATGTCTCGTCTCTAAACCAAGGAAGAGAAATTCAGCTTTCGATGGACAGTTCATCGGGTTTGTAAGATAAATTGAAAGAGAGAGAAAAATTGTATGTATTATTGATTGATGTATTACAAGATTGTTGTGTTTCTGTATTGTATGTGATGAGCAGAACCAGCACCCCGTCTCCCTCTCTTCTCCTTCTCCTCTCTTCTCTCCCTCTCTTCGAATTCGACCCAAATTTCGACCCACAAAATTCGAGCACCCACCCATTTTTCTAAATCACAATAGAAAGAAAATCAATCACAAATTTAAAAAAAATAATAATAATAATAACAATAATAATAAAAAAAGTACATAAATATAAATGATACAAGTAGATTTTTAATGGCTTTGAAAAATGATAATTAAAAAACAAAGATTAAAAGTATCATTCCTTCAACTTCCAAATAATTAGTATTTTTCAAGTTATTTAAGATATTTTTATTTAATAAACTGTAAGCGAAAGTTATACTAAATAGTGATACAGACTCTTAAAATAATAATTAAAAAACAAGAATTTAGAACCCTATATAAATTGTATCAAACAATGTGATAGAGTTTATATCAATAAATAACAATAATACCCTCAGTTGAATCGTCGGCTACAATGTTCTAAGATGGACAGTACTAATCAAACTCTACAAACTCACCAAGTCATGATGTCACCATCTCTCTCTATTATATATACTCCAAGACTAGTAAATTATAACCAAGACAATATACTAGGAAGTTGTATATCTGTTTTCAAATGGAATTATCCATATTCAGTTTCTTTGCTATATGTGTCCTACTTGGGGTGGCTGGTAGAGCTAGAGCCAGTGATGATAGCTTTGATGAGAATTACTATGTTACATGGGGAAACAATCATGTCTTGTCTCTAAACCAAGGAAGAGAAATTCAGCTTTCGATGGACAGTTCATCGGGTTGATTTTTCTATCACTTCTCTTTCTTACAAGCTGAAAACACTTATATTTGTTTCTTAACAATTAATTTTTTTCAATTTATTTAAATTATTTTTATTTCATTAGTTTTATACAAAAATTGTACCAAACACTTAGCAACGGGCTCATCATCTCCCGCATGGAATAACTTTTTTAAAATTACAGTTTAGTTTAATTATTGATACATTTCGTTTATATTAAAATTTTGGGTCGCCATGTAATTCAAATTCTCCAAGACAATAATTTTTCTGCACTTGGTGTTTCAGTGCTAGACAGATAGAAAAAGTCTAGCTCATATTTGAGCACTACGTTAAATAAGTTCAAAACGCTTTGACATCTGTCAAACCCTATTTTGCAAAACATGCATGAAACCTAAGGTTCTTCTATGAAACAATGCTAAACGAGTAATGTTAGGGATTTTGAAAAAAATATCATGAAAATGATCATGAAAAATTCTCCATCTTTAGATTATATATACAATAAAATATCCAGCAATGCTAGGTATCATGAAAAACCTTTCATGAAAATAATCATGAAAGTTTTGTGACCCTTGAATTACACTTAGAATAAAGCATCACACACTAATCAAAGTAATCCAAGAATCATAAATTTTTCATGATCATTTTCATGAAAAAAAATTCATGATCCCTAACTTTTCCTAAAATATCACACTAATCAAAGGATGAAAAATTTTCATGATACATTTCATAATATTTTTTTCATAATCCCTAATATTATTCATGCAAAATAAGCTAACCCCAGTATATATGCTGAAAGTGCACACTTCCTCATAGTTTCTTTGAGGCATATATTATGGTGCAAAATAGCATCCTGGTTCTCTCTCTCTCTCTCTCTCTAAATGTTTACTTTATGCTTGTGTGTGGCCTGATAGGGTCTGGATTTGGCTCCAAGCTAAGCTATGGATCTGGGTTCTTTCATATGAGGACAAAGCTACCAGACAAGGACTCTGCAGGAGTTGTTACAGCTTTCTATGTAATGATCGACTTCATATCTCGTCTTTCATTAATAATCTTACCTAAATTCTATTGAAAAAAAAAAAAAAAACTAGTGACTAATCAAGAAAGTATCAGCAGCCACATATGTAGCTCCTGTTATAGTAGTAGTAAAAGGTTTGTGATTCAAAGGTTGGTGTTTATTGCAGCTGACTTCACACACAAGTAACCATGATAAGTTAGATTTCGAGTTCTTGGGGAACAGAGAAGGAAAACCTTGCACGTTACAAACTAATGTGTTCTCAAATGGGCAAGGGAATAGAGAGCAAAGGCTCCATCTCTGGTTTGATCCTACAGCAGATTTTCATACTTATCAGATCCTGTGGAACCAACATCAGATAGTGTAGGAACAATCATCCATCTCTCTCTCTCTCTCTATATATATATATATATAATCAACCATGCAAAGCAAAGCTACGATGAAATATATGAAGGACGCTACAAAATATCATGGTGAGCCTTATGAACTTTTCAAAATTTTAAAATTCGAATTTAAATCTAAGGAAAATCCAATCTTTTAGAAAACAAAATAGAAAAATACTTAAAATTTGATTCATTCTGAATGTAATAATAATGTAACATACCTAAAAAAACATTGAAAATTTAAAATGTGAGGATTGATGTGATAATGGGACATATCCAGAAAAATATTCAAAATTTGAAATGTATGCGTCGATGTGATAATGGAACATATCTAGAAAAAAATTTAAAATTCAAAATGTATGGATTGATATGTTGGAAATTTTGGTTTATAAGGTTTATTTTGGGCCAACTTTGAGCCCAAAATAGAGTGGGCCCTAAACGTCTTTGGGGGTGGGTCCGAAAAGGTGACGTGTTCCTTGTCGCATGGCAAGTTACGGTGAAAACGGTTTATCAAAACCATTTATGAGTGAATGGGAAGTTGACGTCATTTTCAGGTTCATGAAATGAATAGTTAAAGAAGTAAATATGGGTTTCTTTGAACAAAAATGTTTAAGAGCCCCTTTCCCCCCACTCCATTTGCTTTTGATTGGTCCATTTTTCTTTTTTTTTTCTTTTGTTTTTTCTTCTCTCTCAATCCCCAACCCCCACGTGTGTGTGGGAGTGGTGGGGGTGGGAGTTTTTAGGGGGTCTTAATCAGTCCTCTTCTTTGAAATAGGTTGTCCCACATTGAAACTTTAAAAAAACTTGTGTATGTATATAAGCTCTAGACTACAGCACTTGGGTTGGGCCTTAAGGGGCACCCAAAGTTTGTAGAAGGGAAAAGTTATTGACAAAGTAAACCTTAACCCAAACCACCACACACGCTCGCACCGCCGGCTGACTAGCCAAGCCGAGCCGTGCCAGGTGTGGGTCAGGTCGGTTCTTATATTAATTTTTTGAACAAAATTTATTTGAATTTTTAATGAAATAAAATTCAAAATTTTGTGCCAAAAATTGAATTTATTTTCTGTCCATTTCCAGTTCGAAATTCAAACAGGTTAAACAGTTCAAAACTGTTTGAACCCTGAACAGATTCAGTTCCAGCCAGACAGATTTAAATCTATCCAGCAATTATCTGTTGCATCTGTTCACTTCAAATTTTGTACCTGTTTAGATCTATATAATTCCAGATCTGTTTCAGCATTTGGCAATCTGAAAAATCAGTCTGAAAAATTCCTTTTGCTGTCCAGCTTTGCTCTTTTGGTGCATTATTCTTCATTCTAGTTTTAGAGAAAATTAAAGAGAGTATAGAACACAAGGTTCTAGTTCGCCGGACAAATTTGTTTGGAGTGTTACTACAAATTTGTGAAGATCATTGTATCTTGGGATATAGACGCCACTTAACCGTAAACACCGTAGCGGGGCGAATCTGTCTTAAGGACAGAGTGTCACACACTCGACTTAGTCTTTTATTTTTCATTCGGTTTGATAAAATAAATTATGGTGTCGTTTGGGAAGGGCTCATTTGGACTCTTTTGGCTCTTTGAGCCACAAAAGACAGAATAGGCTGTTTAAGTCACAACAGACAAAATATCACATCTAACCCATAATCATTACACTCTTCTCTCACAAAAAAAGTCAAAAAAGCCAAAAAATCAAAAAGTCATTCTCAAACCAAGCTTTTGAGCCTAGGCTCAAATAGTCAAAAAAGCTAAAAAGCCAAAAAATCAAAAAGCTAACCCACTTCCCAAACGGAGGCTATGTAAGTTATTTATTTTATTTGGTTTGATTTAGTTTCATTTTATTTTATTTACATAGAAGATTGTTCCAACATGATGAGATTTGGGTGTATTCCAAACTTAAATCTGAATACTTTTTTCAGTAATTTTTTTTACTAGATAGCAATTTTGAACTTAATTAATTGATATTTTAATGTTTATAAACATTGGGTATTTAGGTTTTATGTGGACAACATCCCAATTAGAGTATTCAAGAACAACACAAACATTGGAGTAAGCTACCCAACACAACCAATGCAAATGGAGGCAAGCTTGTGGGATGGGGATAGTTGGGCAACAGATGGTAGCCAAACAAAGACCAACTGGTCTTATGCACCATTCAAAGCTCACTTCCAAGGTTTCGACATCAATGGCTGCCCAGCTCAAGACTCCAGTAACATTCAACAATGTTACTCCTCTAAGTTTTGGTGGAATGGAGACAAATACTGGACATTGGACTCTACTCAACAAAATGCATATGAGAATGTAAAAAACAAGTATATGAACTATGACTATTGTTCTGATAGGCCTAGGTACCCTAATCCTGCCCCAGAGTGCCTTCTGTAATATGGTAAGTGGTTAGTGGTGAAGAGACACTACAAGAAATTAGACTTTCGCCGACCAAAATCTTAGTCGGCAAAGGTCACTTTTTTAGTCGCCAAAACCAATTAGCGACTAAATTTTTTTGTCGCCAACTTAGTCGCCTAAACCCTGTCGGCGAATGTTTTAGCGACTAAACACGAGTTTGGTCGCTGAAAATGCAACATTTGGCTACTAATCTGTGTAGTCGGCAAATGTTACCCTTTGGCGACTAAAAAAATAGTCGCTGAAAAGGTAATTTTTAGCTACTAAATCATTGGTCGCCAAACGTCAACGTTTGGCTACTAAAGTTGGGTTAGTCGGCAAAAGTGATATTTTTGGCGACCAAAATATTAGTCACCGAAAGTTATAACAAAACTAATTTGAACTATTTAGAGACTAAAGTTTTAGTCGCTAATTGAACTATTTGCCGACCATGGCATTTAGTCACCAAAGGTTGCCAACTTTTATTCATTTTGCTACTACATTATTAGTGGCCAAAACATTTGAAAATAATTTTTGGCTACCAAAATAGTTAGTAGCCAAATGCTATATTAGAATTTTTTTTTAATTTTTTTTTTTTTAATTTCTGAACCACCTGTATCCATTATTAGTACAACCTATACAATGTATAAACAATAAAATCCATCAATACTAAATATATATTATCAACCATCGACAATGTGCATGCCAAAAATTCCATTCGACATCCAATTCCATTCCATTCCACATATGTAATACAAATTCCATACGACCCAAGTCTATTCCAACCTCAATAATTTAGTAATACAAAATATGTAATACAAAATATATTCCCTCCATTTGACATGTAATACAAAATATCAACCTGATAATCAATCCTAAAATTAGTAAATAAAATTAGAGTGTAAAATATACAATTCTGGTGCTACATTCTTAAATATACATTCGTTTCTGAGGTTCCACAAGGACCAAAGAGTTATTGCTAGGATAGCTCTCCCCACCCAACACACACACTACGGATAGCCCATTGTGAACCCCACCAACTCAAAATGGCAGACACACCCTCCAAACAAAGGGACAATGCTGTAGCACGTGAAGTGATGATTCATCCTCATTCTTGGACAAACCACAAAGTGTAGATGCATTGCCATTAAAGACTCCAATTCTCTGCAAGAACACTACAGTTTTGACCTTATTCTTCCAAGCAAGCCACCTAAAAAACTGAACTTTAGGAGGAAGAGTATTATAGATTGCAAGCAGTATGAATTATCAACAACTTAGGGCCTGTTTGGACATCTCTTCCCTCAACATACCAAACACATTAAAATTGATTGTCATGTTGTCTGGGATAAAATTCACGGTCCAAACTTGAAGGAGCGTGTTAGAGATACAGCTGCATACGCTTGAAGACAGCCCCTAATTAGCAATTTTATTCAACAAACATGGGCTTTGATTGTACATTCCTTGTATCTATTCTGGCAGTTATGTATTCCTGGATTCAACCCCTTGATTTCTCTGCTAATTTGACCTACAATGACATGGCATGCTAGGTGTCAATTTTTTATTTGTAACAAATTCAACTATGTAAGGCTCCACTCCCTTCCCACATCATTATGGGTGAATTTAGCAATCTAAATTGTGGGTTTTAACATTTCTCTTACATATAATGAGAAAGTGAGATACTGTATTAATTCATGTTGCAGCAATTTCATGTCTTTTACTCTGTTCTAATCAGAGCAGTATGAGAAAGAACAAAAACATACCCATGTGGGGACAAAGAAGGAAGCAGAAAGAACCAACATGCCTGCAGTGGGAAGGGAAATAGCAGGTGCACCTCACTCTCCTGATTCTCTTCTTGTCCTTCTTCCACACCATATGGGTCCTGACCAGAGCTTGTGAAGGAGAGTACAATTCATTGTTGCTAGAGCACAGCTGAAATGAGTAAAGACATAAAATGAATCCCACTGGGTTGAATTTGAAATTAGGTGATTATAAATATGATACATACACATTTATATATTTTTTTGATGGTGAATTAATTTAAATAAATCACATAAAAAACTAAATGCTCAAATACTTCCGAGATACTTGCCATCAACAATCCCCATTCTGTGTTGATTCCAACACCAGTTACCTTCAGACAGCAAAAGAGTTTATTTATTACCTTCAGAGGTCCAATATTGCATACATCAGGAAAATTACATGCGTAGGTACTTTACCAGCATAGTTTCAGCAAAAATGGTACTTTACCAACATAGTCTTACATATATTTCATAACAAGATCTAAATAACTTACAATCTTGCTTTCCCCAGTCATGCTAGATTCATCGATGGCAAGAGAATGACCAGAAATTATGATTCCATCTGCTGGGACCTGGGAAAAATGGAAAGGTAACAACCTATTTTTTCTCGTGTTCATAAGCAGTAATATCTACAGTTGCAATAGTGGATTCATAAAAACAAATTTGTATGTCCGACAAATCAAACCCACTTAAATAGGCTACACTCACCTGATCACCAATCTTAAGAGGTATAACATCACCAACAACAATGTCATATATTGAAATATTTTCTCTCCTACCACCTCTTACAACCTGCATAATAATTCATAAAAATAACAATGTAGCATCCTAAGGTTAATAGATTAAAAATAAAGTAAATGCTTCATGTTGTAATTGCACACCTCCAATTGTATATTTCTCTTCTTCTTTTTTTTTAAATAACAATTTTGCTATCCCACTGCTCAAATAAATTATGAAAATGCTCTCCACGAGGAAGAAATTCTGCACATTATGAAAGTAGTGATAAGGAATGGAAACATCTATATAATTGCTTCATTCAACCAATTTAATTTACCTCTGAGAATTGCAAAATTATCTGGGATAGCCTAAGGACCTTAAACCATCAATATGATAAGATAGCAACTCAAGCAGCTCCAGCAGCAGCTACTCAAGCTCACAACAACAGCAGCAGCTCAGCCACAGCTACAGCAGCAGAGCAACAGCATCTCAGCCATAGCAGAGCAGAACAACAGACAGCAGCTTCATGTTCGAAAAAGTTGAGTTGAGAATTTTATGACATAATTTTAATTCTACACAATCAACTAAAATTAACTTTGATTTTATCTATTCCCAACCATAACAATAGCGTGATTCAAATGAAATTACATATAAAAGTATGACAGGAGGACATGAATACTAGTCTTTTTTTAATTCATTCAATGGGACATTAATTCTTTTTTTTTTTTTTTTCAAAAAGAAGATAAAATTCTACATTTACTATAAGATAATTCAAAGCCCAGTGGTTTTGCCAACTGATACATACTGTGAGTTTTTACCATTATTTGTATATGTGGTTTATGTTTAAAGCAAAGATCAGAAGGAAAAATTTGAAGGAAGAGAGAGTTACCTGACAAAGGGTAGCAGGGGATAGAGTAATTTGATCATAATACCGTGGATTCATTGTGACAATGACGACAATCGAAGACTTCGTTGTAGCAGGGAGCTCTAATGTGAATTAAGTTTGATATCAATGCAAAGCAAACATAGATGAAAGAGTGACAAGCAACCTTATCAGAACATTAGAGAGAGCATTTGGACCAGTAGGAACATGAACAATGTGACTGCTGTCATTATTGTTTACAGCAGCAAGAAGGGCTTCTAGCTTTTCTGCTTTCCCCTTATCTTCTTCACCAAAATTAACAATATCAAGGGCTACACTGTTCTTTTTTAACTTCCTTCCAATCATGCAAAAATGGAAAAATGTTGCTTTGCTAAATTATGCAAAAATGTTTCTTTGATACATTTCACAACAACATAATGGGTAAAGATTAACACACTCGAGATTAGAAAAGTTCAAACACAAATAGGGTCAGCATTTTCTTCTTCCTTTTTGGAAAAAAAGAAAAGAAAAATGGGTTTCAGACTGATGACAAGAACAACTTTTTCAAAAAAAAAAATAAAAAAATCAATAAAATTGACCAAAGTCCTGAAACTGACAATGAAGCATTGCAACCTTTTTACTTCATAAGAACAGAGGTTCACAGACTCAGCTTGAATCAGAAAGTGCAAGATCATAGACCCAATTAGAAGAAATAACAATACTTTAATAATAGAGAGTCAAGAGTCTTACTTTCCAAACTTCAATATTTCATTGGCTTCAATACATAAAGGTGAGGATTATCTTCGAACTCTGCAGGGAACAAACAAGTATTGTAATTAAACCCAGAGATCCAGTTGTCATGGTCTTTGAAGCAAACATTTCAAATATGAAATAATAGAACTAATATGATTAGTACCAAAAATCCTTCACTAAACAGTAACGAGACATTGCATTAGCTTGGGAAATGGATTTGTGATTGGTTCCATTCATAACTGGGTTGCTTCGACATACCTTCGACATACCTTTTATCCACATTTGTATGTCCAAAACCATCTGCAAGAAAAAATAAAATTCATTAGTTTGGTGCCTATAAAATGTTAAGAAGGCTTAAAAGCTTCCCTGTTAATGACATAGATAGTCTTACATATCAAATATTTTCCAATAAAATAGATCCTCGTTAAAACAACAAGGTTGTAATAAATAAATAAAAATGTGGGAAGAATTATCCAAAGTCAGTCTTCAGGGCATCGTATAAATGTTTTGAGTGATTCTCACCTCCTTTTTGTCTCCTCCCAATTTCTCTTTTTGTTCCCTATGTCAGTAAATCATTACTCCGGTCTTAAGTCTAATTTTCCTTGAAAGATAATGATCCATTGATAACCGGGTTGCTTCGACATACCTTTTATTTTTAATTTCCACCTCATTAGCTTACATTCCCAAACAATTAGTGATAAGCATAACTTAAAAAATTAACAAATTCACAGAAATTTTCAAAAGTGCAAACCTAACCCATAAAAACCATGCAATGCCATTGCCACTATGTTGGTCATTTCAGAATCTAAATTAACAGTATCTTCTGAAAACTTTCTCTAACATTGATCAATGAAGTTACTTTATGACATTACTATCTACAGTTTTCAGACACACAGGGCTGTACATTAACCATGAAAACTTTCTCTACTATTGACCAATGACACATCTAGCACTGCCCATGTTACCAGTTAAATTTCTTCACAACAGGACTGTACCTGGGTTATCAATCCATGGGGTTTTCCACTTGCCCTTATAGTTGGGGTTCTTGATTTTCTGAAGCACCACAAATTACAAATACTTCAATCTTCATTGCAGCTTCAATCAAATAATCACAAAACTTTATTTTCACCACCCAACTGCACCTACTAACAATTGACTCTGCTACCCCCAAAACCACAACAAAACTTTGATTTTGAGTTCAACTTCAGCCAAACTCTCACAAAACTACATTCCCTGAAAACTACACAGAAACCCTGTAAACCCACACACTCAAAAAAGAAGAAGGCAAAAACCCCAGTAACCCATACTGCAGATGATCAATCCACAACCAAATCATACAAGTTCTTTTACTCCATGCTTTCAATCATATAATCATAACAAAATTTACTATTTTCATCCAATCATAGTAATTAACTACAATAAATACTTTGTATTCAATTTCATCTAGAACACAAACATTATCTAAAATAATGTATTCCTAGTTATTTAACAAATGCACACTGCCAATGCTATTATTTTCAAAAAAATTCAGATATAAAAACTAAAATACTTAAGTAGACATGAAGAACATGAACTTGTAAATGCAAAATGGTGTCATCTATATACATTAAAATATAGATTTCCTCACCTTATGGCTGGTCTTGTACCAATCACCAATAAGTAAAGTAAAATCCACTACAGGTGTAGGATATGGTATAGGGATCATAGATCTTGCATATACATTTAGTCCTCCAAATCCTCCAGTGGCTTTATGCATAAAAGTCGATGGAAAGTATGTGTAGGTTCCAATTTGATCTTTGGTTTGGAACTTGTAAGTGAAGTTTGAGTTAGGAGGGATAGGGCAATTAGTCTCCAACACACCATCTTGCCAGGAGTTCTTCCTTTGCTTAAGTCCATTCCTAAAAGTAAAAATTTACTGTTATTAGGCCAAGTTTTATTCTAACTGCCACATAAATGAAGAGAAATTGCATAAAGTAATAGTAAATTAGGCATTAATATTAACAATACTATTTCTCAAAATTTTGGACATTTTACATTTGACATATGTACCCCCGATGCAAGTGAGAAACACGTGCCTTACGAATAGTTTGAAAACTTTCTCTACTATTGACCAATGACACATCTAGCACTGCCCATGTTACCAGTTAAATTTCTTCACAACAGGACTGTACCTGGGTTATCAATCCATGGGGTTTTCCACTTGCCCTTATAGTTGGGGTTCTTGATTTTCTGAAGCACCACAAATTACAAATACTTCAATCTTCATTGCAGCTTCAATCAAATAATCACAAAACTTTATTTTCACCACCCAACTGCACCTACTAACAATTGACTCTGCTACCCCCAAAACCACAACAAAACTTTGATTTTGAGTTCAACTTCAGCCAAACTATCACAAAACTACATTCCCTGAAAACTACACAGAAACCCTGTAAACCCACACACTCAAAAAAGAATAAGGCAAAAACCCCAGTAACCCATACTGCAGATGATCAATCCACAACCAAATCATACAAGTTCTTTTACTCCATGCTTTCAATCATATAATCATAACAAAATTTACTCTTTTTCATCCAATCATAGTAATTAACTACAATAAATACTTTGTATTCAATTTCATCTGATTCAATTTCCAATTTTTTCAACTGGGTTTTCAACTACAGAAAACATAAACCTAGTGATTTAAGAGTAGAACCTCAGCGAGATCGGCCTGGTGACCAGGGTTGTGCTGTGACTCGGGTCGAATCTCGATATCTGCGGACTCGTCAACAATTTCTTGCATAGTGTTCTGAATGAACTCATCGAAGGAATCGAGCTGTTGACGAACCAGACCCTTCTCTTCGAAGTAAGCACTGATTACAGCCCAAGCGTCTTCTTGAGTGATCTCATCTTCATCTTCATCGTTGTAGCTTGGATCGTACTCTTCTTCCAAGTCCATTCTAGACAAAAATTTTACAGTTGGGACAGAGGAGAGTGAAAATTGGAGATGGGTTTTGAGGGTTAGCTTCGTCGTGGAGTCTCCAAGGGTCAAAGTGAGAGAGAGAATGAAATGTGTTGAAGATTTGGGGGCTTTATAAATCCCTCCAAAATTTAGAATGTTTCCCTCTAATTATTTTAGGCTTTTGGCGACTAAAATTAATTTTCGTCGCTGAAAATCAACTTTTGGCGACTAAAATTTTAGTCGCCAAAGATAAAAATTAATTTTTTATTTTACATT